CGATCTCACTTTTTATTAGGCATTTTTTTAATCCAATACTTTTTTGATTAGGTTACATTTACTTACGATTTTAGCGAACATGTTGAGCTTGTTGATGCAATGTACTGTATCATACTAATCACTGGGACGCCGAGCTTTATATAGTAAAGCTTCAGCCTTGATCTTTACAAGTAGGTACTCTCATTGTTTGGGATGACAACGATAACAAGCTTAGATTTCGGAGGTTGATGACATCGAACTAAACACTTCCCTTTAAGGAGACGTAAGTCATATCAAGGACAATACCTCGTATATGTGTACACGGATGACGGCACATCAAGCTAAGCCCTGAAGCATAGGTATAGGTAGGTTTTTTGGTGCAAAGTTGCTATAAAGATGTTTAGTGTAATTTGTTTCCAAAACCTTATCTTAAAAATAAATAGTTTCAACCTAGCGGTATAGATTTTTTGAGTTTGCACACAATGTATTTTTCATGTACATAGTTAGTAAATATTAGGGCTCAGTTGCACCATCTTATTTTATCCGGTGTTTTTTGTATTGTATAGAGTTTGACAGACTTTTGGCGTTTTTTAAATTTTAGGCAAGATGGTGCAACTGAGCCTTAGGGTATATTAAACACTTAGGCTGAGTTGCACCATCTTACTTTGACTAATACAAACGTCAAAAATCTGTCAAACTCCATACAAAAACCACCGGTTATCGTCATAGTTACGGTCAAAGTTAGGTGGTGCAACTGGTGTTTTTGTATGGAGTTTGACAGATTTTTGACGTTTGTTAAAGTTAAAGTAAGATGGTGCAACCCAGCCTTAATATAGATAGCACATCAAACTACCTATACAATTTTGTTATAAATATAATAAGATTCCACGATGTTTAGTTTGAAACGCTAAATATGTTTGTGATCAATTTATCTACTCCACATTTTGCCGAATGTTTTAAATTACAACATTCGCTTTAGGGCAACGCTTAATTATAATTACTCCTTAATTTCTTTTCTAAGCAAGGCTATAATGTAAACATACATTTTGGCCTTGACTTTGACTTTTCAAATGTCCTTATTGTTCACTCATCTTGAATTATGTGCAGCAAACAAAAGGCAATATTATTTAAATAAACATGTTAACATCATGTATGTAGTTTTAATTATATTTCTGCATATAATTATAGGATTTTTTTTTATTGGTTGTCGTCCATTGTATCGCCATAATATCTGCCTTCTGGGATCCAAATAGAATCCAATTGTCTGCATATAACATTGTAGATGGACTTTCAGTTAGATTCGTGTCATTTCAATTTAGTTACTACTTTTCTACATTCCATCATTATAATAGACTTATTGGGAAAATCAAAGTCAAAATCCAGGATTCATTAGGTAAAGTTTTATCTCTTACTCGTTAACAACAAAACTTGTACCTACTTTTGATTTTCATTCCGCAGGTTACCATTTGTTAAACAATCATCATTCTATACCAATCGAAAGAATTCTTCGACATTCTCATACGTTTTACATCTGAGTCCTATGACAAAATGTGTAATCGTATTATCGTAAGACTCTGAATCGGCTGCTTGGTAGGTACGACTTAGGCTTTTTTACTTTTTTACATGTCTCATTATATTATTATGCAAATGATATTCCAGTGTAAAAAATATTATGTCACTTCACATGAGCGGTGACTATAAAAACTAACAATAGATGCGTGACCAGTAGGGAATCGAAACACATACAATAATATTTGCAGGTATGATGTGCGACTTATAAAGCTTTGAAAACTGACACTACGTTATAACGACTTTTAAAATGTGACTAAGTACATATACCCACTCCAATTATTTAATAACAAACTAAGTAGAGCTCAATAAAGACTAGTAGGTTGTCTTACTACTTGTTAACATAAAATATTTACTATCACCTTTAGTAGCTATCCAATTTTTTAAATTACTAAGTAGCTATGTCCGCGACTTTGTGCGCTTGAAAATATGTAGTTTGAATGACTGGGATTCAGCTTGATTCGTGTCTACTATGTTTCACGTGACAGTTCAACCTTAGCAGCTTCTTAACTTTTCTTTACTTTAAGCATCTTAGCTTTTCTATTAAATCATATTAATAAAGTTTTAAACTAATTTCCTGAAACTAGTATCCAAGAAGTTTAATCCGTCGGATAATTCATAGGTATACATTATCCAACGAATTAAATTGTAATTTTGAAGGAGACGTATAAAAACGGATTATTTTTGCGAACTTGCTTTATTTAAATCCAATCAAAATCAAATCAGATGGCGGTCATCAGAGTAACATCATTTCGGGAATTCCTCATCGTCTTAACGGTAGTAGTAAGCATTGGGCAGGGCGGAGTAGGCGAGCGGGGCGGCGGCGTAGGGCGAGACGACGGCGGGCGCGGCGTAGCCCGACGGGTACACGTAGTCCAGGCCCGACGAGTACGTCAGCAGCTGCTGCGGCGCCGGCGCCGGCTTGGGCGCGGCCAGGGCCACCGCCACCAGAGCGAACAGGGCGAACTGAAAATAAAAGGAATGAAAATTAGTTATTTTATAAACTAGCAGTGTTTTCGAGAGAGTAAAATAAGACCCCGTGTCTCTTCCCGTGGATGCGAAAGGAAAAGCGACCAATAGACAAATATGCGAACATCAGGCCTCCCCAACCTTTTCCTAAATCTTCTATTTCATCATTATCATCATCATCTCAGCCATAGGACGTCCACTGCTGAACACAGGCCTCCCCCAATGCTTTCCATATTATCCGGTTGGTAGCGGCCTGCGTCCGACCGGGTAACATCGGACCGACGACATCATAAAGGTAGCAGGAAAAATCTTCTATTTGCCTCTGGAAATTTGAGGGAGTCATGTTCTTGTAATGGAGACAGAGGGGATACTGGACTCGTCATGTGACGTGCGCATAATTTTTTAGTTTCCTAATTCATTACTTAAATTTAGGATAGACAATGATGATGAAAGTGACGAATAGATAACATTCAAAAGCTTCCAACGGACCCAATTCTCTCAGACACAGGATAATATACTCGTAACAACACACGCGAGTAACTTACTTAGGAAAAACACTTTCCTCTATTGCTGTCTCGGACACGTGGACATTTCCCAAAAGATTCACGTTTTTCAAGTAGGTAAATCTCCCTCTTTTATAAAAACAAGCTGATATTTTGATCGACATGTGGAAAAATAATATCCAAAACAGCACATGTTATTGGACACAGAATAATCCTCTCATATCGTATGTAACCATTGTAATGAAGCTTAAAGCTTATGTAACTCTCAGGCTTTCATTCAAAGGCTTTTACTTTTATTACTTACAATTTTAGCGAACATGTTGAGTTTGTTGATGCAATGTACTGTATCATACTAATTGCTGGGACGGCGAGCTTTATATACGAGTAGCAAAATCCCAGCCTTGATCTTTACAAGTACTCGCATTGTTTGGGATGACAATTATAACGAGCTTAGATTTCGGAGGTTGTTGACATCGAACTGAACACTTCCGTTTAACGAGAGATCATTGTTTAATAGAAATAGTCGTTTCAAGGACAATGTACTTACATTTATGATGGCACTTTATTATTAGCTGTAGGAACTAACTCAAATTTTTAGGGTTTGAGTAGGGTAATTCCAGTCACTGGACATTCAAGGGTGGAAGATAGGTTATTGAACTGAATTTCTATTAAGTTAAATTGAAATGTTTTCAACTAGTTAGTGTTTCCGATATCGAGATAGATAAAAGCAATTACTTGTAACGTTCTAACCCTTTGAGGGAATTTAGGAGGTTCAAGGGTTGTTGCCCAAATATCTTAGGCGTCTATTGACTGCTAGACTACCCTACCTTTCCTTAAACTAGTTTGTAGTAGCAGCCTTTATAGACTTCAACTGCTTGTCAGAGTCTTATAGATAAACATATATTATTATGAGAGCCAATCCTTAATCATTGATTCGTGCAGTAAACTTTCAGTTACGATTTTATTTGTAAGCATATCCTTTGAATTCGTGTCAGCTATCAATGATATCATTTTCGACAGTTTCATATTTAATTTCACTTAGGAATTACGTTACCTAATTAATTTCAATCTTACGTGTCGTAAGAGAATGTATTTAAGTTAGATCTAAACCGATACAAGATAGGTTTAATTTAACTACGAGTAACACTAACGCCCGTCAGAAAATCGAAGTTCGAACGCACAGCGTTGAATAGAACTCTGTGATTGATTCATGTGTCATCCTGTGAGTCCACGCACACTGTGAGACCTCATAGTAATGTTTGTGAACACGGGGCGTAAGAGGAGTCAAGTGTTGAGAAGACGGAGTGATTCACTGATCAAATAGAAAATCGCCCATCGATAATTGTTCGAGACTAGAGAGAACCTGTGGGAGCAGTTACTTTAGAAACTATGTTATGATTGATTAGAGATGTTCTCAGTAAAACTGTTTCTAATGAATAGAATATGATAAATAGACCATTTGAGATTCATTCTTCTACTCACAAACGCATCAAAAAAGGGTGCTCTACATTTGTAACATAAATTATACACACTTCGTATAGCCAAATAATTTGATGATCCCAACATCGTTTATAAACCAATTTTCTCATGGCCTCCCTGCAGATGTGGATACTGAGGAAAAACCTACCTACTCGTAGCACAAAAGAACACACGTAGATATTTCTGTTTTGTTCGCATATTTGGTTGGGCAATTGTATTAAACTATTAAAGCATAAGGTTTATGGTATGACCACATTATTTCCTTAATAAGTGTGTCTAAATGTTTCTGGCCGTTAAACTAAAATACACATACTTTATACGTCCGAAGGTGATTCGCGACACTAACTTTTGGAGAATAAACAAAGCGACCTAATTGCTGATGTGGACCGCGTAGCACCGGGTTTGTGTGCGTTCATAATTTACATTGATTCCCAACAGACATGCGTCTGTATAGTTATTCCGTTATTGTTCTGCAGATCCCAAGGACGTAGACCACGTATAAATGCTGAAGGAATCACAAAATTAAACAGTCCGAGCTCGAGATCAAAGGGAATACGTTCAATAAGCACCCCCAACAACAAATAACGAAAAATGTTCGCTAAACTGGTGAGCTTTGATACTATTTTCATTAACAGTTTTTCAATCTAGTTTGCACAATAGAGTTAAGTCAAACAAGTTATTAATNTTATTAATAATAATATATTTTGTCACTTTAGTCATTTGTTTTTCTCACAAAATTAGAATTGTTTTTCTTCTAAACACGTAAACAATGAAAGCTGTATAAGTATTCTCAAAAACAATTATTATCGACTGTGGTTGGCATGACAAAACTGAGTTTATTTCAGTAAAGGCGGTTTTAACAGTTAAAGCTGTATTAAGTTACCTTTGTTATTAATTTGAAAGTACTTGTGAATAAATACTGATTTTGATAACTATGAGTAAAACTCTAACGGATTTATTGCTCTACTTACTCGTACCTTCGGAATGAGATATCAATTGTTGCTTTTGTTAGGTATAGATTTATTTACAATATAACAACTGTTTCTGTTTATAAAAAAGGCTCAAGTTTCTCTAAAGCTATATGAATAAGAAATATAATAATTTGTAACCTCTACAATGTTATTTTAATATTACACTTTAGATGGTCACCAAATTAACGGATAGTGATTAACGGTTTAACTTATTATTCGTATGTAGGTATCTTATTAGATAAAAGAGCACTTATCCAATTTAAAAAATATTGGATAAGCAACACGATGCTACGATGTGCTGATTGTCGCCTAAAAATCAAATCAAAACCGATGCTTTTATTCTACTTCTTTAATACCATTACTCATAATACCCGAGTACACGGTAGCTGTAACTACCATTTGCCATATCGCACAAAAACATTTTTACACGGCTGTATGCAAATACCGCTTTGTGGGAAAATCCACATGTCAAAGATACAGTACCTCTAGTACGAAAAACTTTCGAGTTCGTTTCGTTGCGTATTCAAAGTGTCATCGAAAAATTTTGTATGAAAAATTAAACAGCGCCCCCTATATTATAGCCGCCCTAGGGGGCGCTGTTTAATTTTTCATACAAAATTTTTCGATGACACTTTGAATACGCAACGAAACGAACTCGAAAGTTTTTCGTACTAGAGGTACAGATTGATTGTTGATATTTATTGCGTGCTATTATCGATACAATGGGGCTATTATTTGCTACAGACTTGACAGTACGACGTGATGTTACGAATAGGCACAAATCACTACGTGCCTGTATTCGTTAAGTAGAGACAGCCCACACGCATTATCAAAATATTTTAAGTACTGTACTTACACAGTAATTTATGAGATGACGGTCCCTTCGCTGGTTTTACTGGGAGAGATCGCTTTGAAAAATATTGTGCAGCTGTATTTCTTGTTAGTTAATTATACACCCTGTATTACATTAAATTTCCATTTTTTTATCATCATTGTTGAGCATTACAGACTAAAATATTGAATATAAGAGTTTTTATTATAAATAACTTGAAAAAATCGAACTGCCTAAGGCAGGAATCGAACCCACCATTTTTCGCTTGCCAGGCGTATGCCATCTGAGCTACTTAAACACTGGTTTTATAATCAAAATAGTTTTTATAATCAAATCAAATCAACTTATAATCGTGAAAACATCGATGTTCTTTTCAAACTACTTCGTGATAACTCATACGGGATAATGTTATCTGACCCATTTTGGATATCATTTTGCACCTCCAAATGGAGCAAAAAGCTTGTTCACCAATTAATAACGGATAAAATTTAATGCCTTTTGTTTTTAATGCAGACATTTGCCATTTGCGGGACTCGTATCCACAGCCGGCCCGTCAATGACAATGTATGCAAATTCTAATTCATACTGTAATGATTTTGTTCGTAACATTTTATTAACTGCTACCTGTTTCAACAGACTGAATCACTTCGTGACGTTGTTAAGACTTCACTCATACGAATATTATGCACATTCACACTTAAACAGTTAAATCAATTTTTATACGAAATTCAAATTTTAATATAAAATGAAATTTAGCTATGGGCAATAAAAAAACTAAGGATTTATGGGAGCGAAATCACGATTAGGTTAATTCCTATAATATTATAGTTAGCTATAGCTAACTATTGGTAAGGTGTACCTACACTCCTAGATAGATCTCTACTTTACCATATTTTATTTCATAAATAGGTGTCACTAAGTGTAAATTTAATTTATCATTTAAGCATTAACCCTTAAGGTGGCAGAAAGGCGCTGGATGCAGGCCGCTACCAACCGGGCAACGTCGAAATCATTAGGGGAGGCCTATGTTCAGCTGTGGTTGTCGTGTGTCTGAAATGATAATGATTAACCCTTAATGGTCTTTAAAAACGATATGATCTTTCCAGGTGTTCCTGTTCGCCATCCTGGCCTTCGCGATGGCCAAGCCGCAGTACTTCTCCTCCGGCTACGGCTACGGCGGCTACGGCTATCCCGGCTACTACGGGTATTCCGGCTACACCCCGTACTCCTACGGAAGCTACGGATCGTACGGCGGCTCTCCCTATAACTACGGCTACGGGTACTATTAACTCGTACTACCAGTTTTCCGATCTCCACCGATGATGTACATAATTCTTTAGTTTTTTGTTTCGTGATATTTGTATTAAGTGCACGCGCTTGGTAGATAGCATCTATCATTATCAATTCGAGGAATCATCGAATTCTTTGAAATGGTAAAGGAACATATTATGTTAATACGTATTTGACATTATTGTATTTAACAACCGGGTGCACAAATTCACTTTATTATATTGATTTTTGTTTTTTTTTTTATTAAATTAATGCTAAGCTATGATTTGATTTGTTGTTTTATTGTTTTAAGTTTGCACCAATAAAAAGGTCTTATTTCTTAAAAAGGTTTTAATTAATTACCAATGATGTTTTATTTTCCTAAAGCGGCCGACATAAATAATTTTCTTTTTTATGAATACTAAGTACCTACATAAATTAAGAGCTCCAAATTGAAATACAAATTAAGGCTTTTCTAGAATAATCTTGAAATCTTGAAACATGGTGTTATAACAAAAATTAAGTTTATATTATTTCTCAAAGGGGCAGATGTGATAGTGGCTAAACTCCTCGAAGATACTCAATAAGGCTGTCACGACCCATATTATAAGCCCTTGTCAACGAGTTAGGGACGAGGAAATGAACAAAAAACAATATAACGTATCGATTATTCTATATTATGTACAGTAAAATGGATACAAAATACCTATATACATTTAACAGTAAGGTAAGTAAGCAAATGGTAGTTGATTGTTCGGTCAGAGTGATTAGTTATCTGATAAGGATAGCAAGGAAGGAAAGCTCTAATAGGTAAAATAATGAATTTAAAATAATTATGTCAAATTGGAAAGTAGGTACCTAATAAAATAATATTCAATATCGATACATCTTATCAATATTTGAATCAATTGATTGAACGATATTTTTTACCCATGCCTATTAACTAACAATATTTTCAGACTTCGTCGGCCAGCGTGTATGATTTAAATATTATTTCAGCAATGCCAGGTCGCAAGTTAGCTCTTTGAGTTGCTGATACGCAATAAGTAAGTACCTAATCTGGACACCATTGTCAACAAACGTTTTGGTCGGATACAAGGATCCAAAGGGCAAATGACGCAGAGGGAAGGATATTCAAAGGACACTCGAATATTAATGAGTATTGTATTATAAAAAGCTTGACACACAAAAAATAACGCGTAGCTTGAAGGTCGGGTCCCCGAGGAGATGGGTGACGACCAAGGCGGATATCGATTATAATGATAGGTGCACCTATTAAGTATTTAATGTACAGTAGCCCTCATGATTGGTATAGAAAATAATGAAAATACTTACTAACTGCTTTAAATGTTCCAATGGGTATAGAAATTACTCGTAGTGCCACAGAATAATAATAAGTACTACGTACAGAAGTTTTACTTCGCGAAGGTATTTAAAAAAATGTATGCTCAATGTCATTAACAATATGGTGTAATTTAGCCTGTCTCAAGAGTCAAGCACCATTTTGTTGTCAAACGTCAGTGATCGGCACTGCGCCGAAGCTATAGGGCTGACTTCGGTAAAATGATGTGACGTGAGGTGTCAAACTGCGGAAAATGGCGGAGGAAATATAGGATTTAGCATGAATTATCATGAATAATATTAACTACATATTTACCTCTCAGTGTCTTGAGGCAACTTAAAAAAGTACATTCTGTGTTTTTATTATTATTTAGGCAGTTAAATACTGCACAGTATTTAGTACACCATTTTCTTTATTTTCTTCCATCATACACAAGAATACGCGTGCGTGAGTCAATGTTCGCTCGTATGTGAGGCCTTATCGAATAGTATCCTGTAGGTGGGCCATCGTGCGTGTTTTGTTTTCGATGTAAACTCGCGGAAATGAACAGGCCTGGTAGTGCTGTTTGTTTTGTAGTTATGTGGCTATTATTATACATATAGTTAGAAGCAGGAATAAGATGGACTAGTATATGAATGATTTTAGTCAACTACGTATCTCTTGTTATTGGGCTGCGTAGCATATTTTAAAACACGAAATAAATTAATATGAATGCCATGTCTACCACTGCCTTAGGCATCGAAATCTACGCAAACGGAATAGTAGATAAAGTTAAAGGCAGAGGCTAGTATTCTATGAACAAGCTATTAATTAAGCTTGGTCATAGAATACTAGCCTCTTGCGTAGATTTCGACGCCTAAGGCAGTGGTAGACATGGCATTCATATTAATTTATTTCGTGTTTATCCTTTCTTAGGTATAGCAACGCTGCTTATTTTGAATCGAAACATTACTAAGTAACAAACAATTCCGGAATTTATTATTAAAAAATGCTGCATGCTTGTAATTTTCACGACAGAGTTTCATACTCGTATAAATACCCACTCGTAGATACCAAGAAACCGTATATTTACCATTTTATTAGCAAGAGTTACCATTTTAATTACCTACATTAAAAATGTTGTACAGGCTTGACAAAGGTATACGATAACATTAGTCAGAGAAATCTTGAGGACTAATATTTTCCAGGCGTTGTTGTTTCAGGACTATTCCTTTACCAAAACAATTAGAGCACTTGTTTATGAAGCAGACAGTACAGTCATTGAATTACTTATTATTTTGAAGATCAAGGACGCTTTTTGTTGTTTGCCGACGACACGACTGGTCAGGCGTGGTCGTAACTTGCACTATATAAGCTGACAGTACTCGCCATTTGATTATTATCAACTGTGATAAGTCCTCATAACACTTTGAAAATGTTCTTCAGACTGGTGAGTACATTTTCTAAAATTTAAGTAAGCCATAGACTTAAATTTAGCTCTTGCAGCGCACCTAGAAACATTCAATGGTGATGAGGCAAAAACTAACTAGATTATGTAGAGCCTCCTAATTAGATCCTCCTGAAGTATTAAGCCATAAGTGCCAAGCCAATCAATGTGTGATTGACCTGTCAAATGAAATCAAAATCTTTACTGATTGTCACATGTTTGGCAGACGACTCAAATCCCTTGGGCATATTGTTGTATAGCAATTTGTGTCGAAACCACACGTAGTGACACAAATGTTGTCTAGCACTGCCTATGATTCGCAATCGCCGCTTACATGTTTGTTATTACCTAATTAGTTTTATACCAAAATCTGAATAATATCTATAAAATATTTTTCAGCTTTTTAAGCGTATATAGCGATTGTAAATTATAAATTATTTGAAAAAATCGAATCGAACCCACAATGTTTCGCTTGCCGGGCGACTGCTCTTCCATCTGAGCTACTTAGACACTGGAGAACCCGTCGAAATTTCGTGGTTTAGGCAGTTCGATTTTTTCAAGTTATTTAGTTTGAGATGCAGCTCTTAACGCCAAAAATGAAATCTACGCAGTTAACGATGATGTAAAGGGAAAATAGTTGCACGGTTGACCGCTAGCCGCTAGCTCTGCGTCACGTTGCGTTCGACCCTTTGATGCTAAATAAGGCCAGATGAAGTGACTCGTGTAGGTCCCTTACACCTCACTGACGTTGACATTTATTCAGTTTACGCGATTTACGTAAAGGGCAAACAGGACTGTATTGTTTTGAGTTTTCAAGATCAGCATCATCTTTTTGGATATCCCAATAATTGCATCAGTAATTTTATTTCTTTGGTTTCTTGAATATTCTCTATAATTTTGGTGTGTAATGAAAATTCATTTCTAAAAATATGTCGCCATAAGGAGTTTTGAATTAATGCTAGTCATTGCCACATGCATTATTAGGGAGTCAGATATTTATTAAGTTTCAAACAAATGGGGTTATCAGATCTGCCTATGAGATTTTTCCTGTAGAACCCGTTAAAATGGCTAGAATTTTCACTTGAAACTACGAGTATCTAGGTACTTAGGTACACGTAGTCAGTTCATACAACGTAAGTTGGATAAATGTCAGGTGTAAGCTAAGCTCAATTTTCTTTATAATGATGTCTTGTGTATACTCCACAAAAAGTCTATGCCCAGAAAAAGTGTGATAAATTATTACCTGTTGATAAGAAACAGTCTAGAGGTCAGTGCAAAGTTAAAGATAAGTCTATAGACATTGTTGTGAAGAAACATTTTCCCTTTGTCCTTTTGACGCGATTTTCGAGAAATATCTCTCAGCTTAACTATAATCAACAAGTACGAACACAATTAAGTAACAGTGTTCATTTCTAAACTATAATGTAAGTTATTTATCTCGAGCAAATTCGCAAATTGATTATTTTTTTAATTAGTTTGTACCTACATAGATGTTATTAAAATTTTTGTGTCTATTAACAATTATAATTAGATAAAATTTATAAGTTAATAGAGGTCTTATTTCAAAAGAAATCATACTTCTTTAATAAATAATGTACCTACATTACTTTTATGTAATTACGTAGGTAATTTCTATCTGTAAGTATTGTGAATTCTTGTGACTTAATCTTAACTTCATAAATTTCCCTCTTAATCTGTCTGAAGGTTGTCTGGATTTCTGGAATATTACCTCAATTCTCTTCAACGTCTGAAGTCAATAATATAGATCTCGAAATTAATGTTCAAGCAACTTTTTATTGCGGACTTTTAATTTGTTGTGAATTTTAGGGTGGTGTAGTTTTATATTTAACATTTGTAAATTCAGTCGTATTTTATATTTTAAGAAAGTTATATGTTACATTACGCTACATAGACTACAACGCCATAGCATTAAAAGCTCTCCCATTATCCCAGAATATGTGAACTAAAGTTTACGATAATTGAATGATTTTAATCAAAATAATATTTCATCCTTCCAGTTCGCCGTCTTCGCCCTCCTGGCCGTGGCTTTCGCCAGCCCGAAGCCCGACATCGTGACCTACTCTGCACCCGGAGTGTACCCTCTAACGTACTCTGCGTACTCCGCTCCAGTGGCCTATTCCGCGCCCTACGCCGCCGCACCTGTACCCTATGCCTACTCCGGTTACTACTTCAAATGATCAGCTTATAACCCTGTACCTGAATTCGACTACTCCAATATGACCTGACGTGTATAATATAGTTCTTTCTGCATAAAACTTGTATATTATTTTCCTGTGTTCAAGGTACGTTAACGTACCCTAATCTCTTGTTACCATTATACCCCGATTATTGATGAGTTTGACATAAAACTACTTGTCAGTTCACATAAGTATGTGTGTCTCACCATAAGAATCGAATTCAGAACTTCTTGAGTCGAGAGAATAATTCTACTCTCATATTGACCAAAGCGTTGTACACACA